AGATTCTTCAAATCGGAGAATCTCTGATCTCCAATGTCTTTCACATAGTCTTCAATGTCTGAACCTGATAAAGGAGATGACTGGTGCTGTTTAATATAAACTACATCCCTACCACCAACTGTTGCAGAGGTGACAATATGGGTTCCATAGTTTTCAATAAAGCTGAAAGAAGAACTTCAATATCAGAAACAACAAAGAATTGGTCTAAGAAATTGAATTAAGTGCCTTAAATTGTACTGGGATCAATGAGGCTATTTCTCATACAGATACTGAAAAGGAGGAGATACTTTAAAAGCAGAAAAAACAGAATTCAGCACATTTTGAAATAGTATATATCCACAATCTATCATACAGAAGTTCAGGGCATAAGAAGCTTGAGCTCAAGAAAAAAGGTTTCTAGCTGCACACAGCTGTTCAGGTGACAGTAGATAAGAGCCTAAAGGGATTACAATTTGGAACTCAACAAATCGACAATGGTACTGGAACACAGCCAACTGTAAATTGCTATAGGTCACCCTTTCCTCAAGGTTATGCAATTAAAAGAAAAAGTAAAACATGCAACAAGTCACACTATACAAAGCAGCTGCTTCTACTCTTCCCTGAGCATTAGAACGACAAATCGAATGCGCTAATACCTTAACATCAAAAGAAAATGATACTGTACTATTCAAAATGAAAACATTGAAATGTGCTGATGTGAAAGACTTCACCTTGCCAGCGATGTAGGATCCCAAGAGTATGGAACAGCGCGCTTTATTTCATCCCGCAGAAGCAAATCTAGCTTTACTATCCTGACTGTATAGAGTGGGATAACATGTCCAATCATGGCAAGGGATTTAGTAGCTGCTGCATCATGTTGCCATGAACCAGTGAAGTTAAACATGGCATTAAAACTCCCAAGCGGAACATCTCCAGATATATTTGACATTGCATTGAAGTATTTTGCCATCTGGAAATTCAAGCATGAGGGATTTCAAAAACAAAATTAATGAGATAGCAGTAAACCATAAACCTTTCCTGCAACTATTTTCCTTTTTTTTCCTGAAGGAGAATAGCTACTCTACTATAGCGAGAAAGGAGACGGATAGCTACTCTAACCACTTCTATAGGAATTTGGTTATCATTTCTCCATCACCGTGAATAACATGGCTATTCTTGTAGCTACTCAACTAACGAAAACTTCTAGGTATGCGCTCTGTTTTCATTTTACTCTCATAAACTTGGGAGATAGTCTGTCTATTCAACTGGTGTGTTTTATTAAACAATGCTCCGCTACTTTTCTGCAAAGATTTGATTGGTTGATCTTAGTTATGTTAGGATGGTTGCATGATTAGGACACTTGTTCTGATCATTGCCACGAAACATTTGACACCTCATAGTCCTATCGACTCAGCACATCATAAGCCAGCTTATGACCATTAATTGATTGCTCAAAACATCACAGGACCATTCATTATTTTCGCACAGCCAACACTTTCCATGGTGAGAACCTAGATTTATTTATGTAGCTACATTACCATATAGTTAGGAAGTGGTCTGTCCATCTCACTGCTGTCCCATATCACATCAACACCACTATAGTTAGTATTTGTTCCTAAGAGTTTTACCAAGTTTCTGATTAGTTTCTATAGTCAGTAGTCACTGTAAACACGCGACATAAGTAGGATAGTTGTTGTCAACCACCATGGCCACCTAACCTTTGACACTATACTGTTCTGTCTACCAAATGCATCTTAAGCCAGCTGTGACCACCCTTATTCACTTCTCATCAGTGATTCATGTTTTTACCATTGAAGTCTTTAAGAACTTCACGACATCCGGATCAGTGATACTCTGACGAGTTCAAGATTTGAACTGATTGCTCTAGATCTTACTACATCGTGTACATGCGTAACTAGGTAAAGTGCTATGATCCATATAACAGAGGAACTATTCAAATATGAACATAGACTAGAGGAAGCATCATAAAATAGTCTAGTAATTTAATGTACACAGTAAATCACAGCGGTGCACAATCACTATGATCTGCTAATCCAATTCTCCATTAAGACTAAACTCAAACCATTTATCTTGCCTTAATCTTTACTACCAAATTACACCAAAACAAGATATTAAACCAACCTTCATTACGACTTAGCTATTCCTTTAACAAATGCGGAAACAATCACCCACTAAACTGATCAAGAAACTCAGAAACAAAATTATTATAAATAATTAAAAAAACAATTTAACACATCATCTAGAAACCCCAACAGATGAGGAGCATGGACTTAATCTAATACACTAAACTGATTAACCAAAACAAGGTAAACCATGATATTCAGATAAAAACATGAGCTTTAAACAATACCAAGAAACTGAGCTGACCTCATGGAAGGTACAAACAGGTGTGGCCTCAATGCTTCTCATCCCAACTGAACATTCAATGTCCGCTGTAACATTCGGAATCAAAACACTAACCCCATCTGGGACCAAAAGATCCACACGATTTGCTTCATCAAGATGAACTAAACGAGAACCTGGAGCCCCTTTACAGTACAGGAGCCTAATATCAGAAGTGACATCAAACCCTCTACCCAGAGCTTGGATTGAGTTGCTAAGAGTAGTAATCAAAGCATCTGAGGCTAAACAAGAAGACTTGTTGGGGTTTGAATCCATGTTCATTTGCAAGAAGAAACACAGCTGACTGATGATGATGATGACTTGTTCTTCATTCCAATTCCAGAAAAATAATCAAGAATTAATAAAGATTGAAACTTTATGCTTTGTTCAATGAAAAGGTAATTTCTCTTTTCTTTTTTTGGTTGTTCAAATTGTTTTTTCCTCTTTTTTGGCTGTTTTTGAATGTTGTTGTTTGGTGAGTCAGAGGTTGGA